AAACGTATTCATCCTGCGATATTCAGCAACAACTCAGAAAAGTTCCCTTGTCTTTCCCTGTTGTTCATCCTCGCAAAGACAGCGCCCTAAGCTCTTAGATGCTAATATGTGACCTGCTCCCAGCATCTAAGGGATGTTAAAGTATCACTACCCTCAGCTCTCTGTGTGCCTCAAAAATCAGGCAGCCTCTCATTCATACACATGCACATGCATGCACACGTGCACATGTGCACATATGGACACATAGACGCACAACATGTGCATGCGTGTGCATATATGCATGTGCACGTGCAGACACAAACGTGTGCATACATGGACATGAACACACACAACATGTGCACTTGTGCGCACACATGCATGTGGACATGTGAACACAAAGGCATGCACTCACATGTGCGTGCACGTGTGTGCACATGTGTGTGGGTACGCACAGAACACATGCATGTGTGTGCACGTATGCACACATACACATGTGGACACATGGGTGTGCGCTTATGTGTGTGCACACAAACTTGTACACACAAGTACATGCATGCACACATGTGTGCGCCCATATGCATACACACGTGCCTCATTCTCATCACCAGGTAAGCGTTGTCCTGTGGCTTCCATCCTGAAACGCACCCAGAAGGAACCCACCTGGACCCCTGCCCCCCCCCAGTGGCCACGCCACCTCCTGGAACACGCCTCCTCCTCACCTTCCTCCTTGCCGGACGCCTGTGATTTTCAGGGACAAGTCCGATCCATCTCCACGCGCCGCCCTCACAGCCCACGGCTGCCTTTCTCAGCGTGTCCAGCTCACTCCCCCACCCGGTCCTCCAGGGCCTCGAATTCAGTTCTTAACTCGTTCTGACTCCTTCCATCCCTTTATTGGGTCTATATGACTTGGTTTCACATTTGTTCATTTTTAAAATCCGTTGAATTCGTAATCAGACCTCCCCCGGGGCGTTTACTGACATGGCTTTCCCGTGTGACCAGGAGCCCCGTCTGGACGTCTCACCTGCCTGCCTCACCTGCCTCCCACCCACGGTGGCCGGGCCCCTAGCCTCGCGGGAGCCCTGCTTTAGCCACTCCCGCCTCCACTCCATCCGGTGGCCCCAGAGCTGGGAGGCTCGAAGGGGCGACCTCATCACATGGAGGCCCAGTGGCCTCGGCTCCTGTATGAGCTGCATAGAACCCAACGCCAGTCCTCCGTGCCTTCCTCTCCCAGCCCCCGTGGCCACCGTCACGGCCCTGCAGCCCCATGCGGAGCCCGGCTCCCGCTCTCCTGGGCCAGGAGCCCACCATGTCTAGGGTCCAGCGTGTCCCTTAGGGACAGCCTTTCCCAGAGGCAGCTCTGGTGTGTGGGAGCCACGCAGACCGTCACTTCACGGTCCTCTGCTGTGGCATCAGCCCCAACCAGCTCAGGAGCAGCGAAGGCCCTGGCCAGCCTCTGAGCCTCCCTGTGCGTGTCCCTCGGGCCTGACAACCGGTCTGCTCAGCTATCATCAGACTTGGTTGCCCTCCCGCCAGGGCCGGACGCTCAAGTGGCCGTCTTTCCAGAAGTCTGCCTCCTGCTTTAACCTTTCGGGGAACACCTGTGTTTCTAAGGTCCAACCTGAGAGCATGCCTCCTCCGGGGAGCCCTCCCTGACTGCCCACTTCCTCGTGGGCGGGAAAGCTCCCTGCTCTGCTCTCATGGTGGGGCCTGTCTCCCTATGAGGTAGGGCCTGTCATGTGACCCACATCCCCATACACGCCTTCAGCACGGGGCACAGAGGTGTGTTTCTGGCCTTCCCTGCAGGGATGTACACAGACTAGCCAAGTCAGCATCTGCTGGACAGTCTGATTTTATTAAACCGACCTGGATACAGCATTGATCGGGGACCCAGCAGGGCCCGGTGCTGGGCCGGACGCCCCTGATGCTGCAGCCACGTGCCCGACCCAGGAGGGAACTGAACCCCGATTTCTGAGGTTCTCCCCGGCTGTTCACTGCCTGCTTGCTTTGGCCCGTACTCGGCGCTGACCTTTGATCACGTGTTGAGGCCCACAGAGCCGTGGACACGAATGAAAACACACTTGGGTGGCTGTCGCATGAAACGCGCCTCACTGACTTTAGGGAAATCGCTTTGACTCTTTAAAGGATTGAATGTCGTGCCCTGGCTGGTGTTGCTCAGTGGCTAGAGCGTCAGTCTGCAGACTGAAGGGTCCCGAGTTCAATTCCAGTCAAGGGCACATACCCAGGCTCAATACCCGTTGGGGGGCCTGCAGGAGGCAGCCGATCCATGGTTCTCTCTCTTCGTTGATGTTTCTCTCTCTCTCCCTCTCCCTTCCTCTCCGACATCAATCACAATAGATTAAAAAATCATAATAAGATTTTAAAGCACTGGATGCGCTCTTTGAGCCGAGATCCTGCTGCAGTAACGCTCCTCTCCTCTCCTCTCCCCTCGCCGCCCCCGCCAGGCACCACAGCCCTGTACCTGTTCCTGCTAATGCACCCGTCCATCGTCGGCAGCCTGCCCAGCCCCCGCACCTTCGAGGAGGTGCAGTTCTTCAACGGGAACAACTACCACAAGGGGATTGACTGGTGAGGACAATGCCGTCACGCGCATGCTCCCGCGCCTGCCCACAGCACCCGCAGAACCGCAGAACCCGTGTCACCCACCACGTGAATTAGATATGGACGCGCTTAATCAGTGTGGCCCGTCATGTGATGTGGACGGTGCTATGATGGTAACACTTTTCTGGTCAATGCATATGAGAGAGTAGAGAGGACTGTGGGATACTTTCCATAAGGATTATGCATAAGGAGCTTTAAGATCCTCCTTGTGTGTTATTATTTCACTGTCACTGCGCCTAGAGCACGCATGTCAAACTCAAAGGCTAACACGGGCCAGATAAACGAAGTCTGACATGCTTGGCCTAGAGCATGTGAACCGGGTATATAAGGTGTCTCCCCGGGGACACATGCATCGGGAGGGGGTTTTATTCTAGACCCCGTGACGTGTGTCTTCATCAGCCGCACAGACAGGGCTGTTGCGATGATGTGAGCTGAGATTTGTCGTGGCAATAACACAGGTTCCCAAAACTGCATCCCTGCCGCTCACACAAAACTGTGTCCCTGCCGGTCCCACAAAACTACATCCCTGATGGTCACACAAAACCACATCCTGCTGATCACACAAAACCGCATCCCTGATAATCACACAAAACTGCATCCCTGCTGGTCACACAAACCACGTCCCTGCCGGTCACACAAAACCTCATCCCTGACGGTCACACAAAACCGCATCCCTGATGGTCACACAAAACTGCATCCCTGATGGTCACACAAAACCGAATCCCTGCCGGTCACACAAGCGCCTAAGAGGAATATTACTTTGCATTTGAAAACATTTTTTCTTTTTTTAAGCTTTATTGTTGACAGTATTACATGTCCCCCTTTTCCCCCCAC